ACCTCTTAAACACTGACTAGGCTAAATATTAGTTGGTGTTTCTTTATATGCATTGCTATGTCGCCTTACCCCTATGGGATATTTATATATTAAATATTTTTTGATAAGATAAGTAAATATACAATTCGAAATTTGAGAGGGTTTTCGAAAAATTTCAGATCCTCAGTAATATGTGAAATAATTCTAAAGAAGCCGGCTTGCATCACAATCACCAATATATTCAGAGAAACAAGGCTCATCTTTACATATATATTCAGAAAAACAAAATCAAACATTCACAGAAAAATGAAATGTTATGATATGAGTAAGAGATCTTGCAGATATCCCTATTACGGAATATTACAGATTTTGCTAGTTAAGAATTTGAGTAAAAGTCGAGGTGTGAGGCTATGGTAAGTTGTTGTGGCCTACAACAAAACTCTGAAGGGTGCAGTTGAAAGTTTACACAGCACTCCCTTGTCTAAATCCTCTAAACAAGAAAATAAGGATTTCCTTTACCTGGTTAATACACCACCTAATAGGTGTCCAAGTGGTAAGAAATAAGCAAACGGCCGAGAAAAGGAGTATACCTCAGGGATTTTAGTTTCAGATTCCAGCTGGAAAAAATGCATTTCATTTCACTCAATACAAATCTATGGATGGAGAAACCAAATCGAACATCCAAACTAAAACCCTAACCCCTCAATTTCCACAATCCAAATACAAAAATTCAATTCATCAACAAACAAAAATAGCGCGGGCACACACACACACAACATTATAACAAACACAATTCTAAGTAAGGGTTTTGATAAAATATTTTCGTACCTGAGCTTTATCAGCGAGCTGAACGACAAGTCGACCAACAGGCAACGGCGATTCATAAGAATAACTATAATTAATACATTCCGAACGCATATACCGAGAAAGTACACGGCCGTCGGCGGTGAGTCCGGCAATGGCAACACCGATATGGTCATCAACTTTGAAGATCTTCTTCTGGTGAGATGAAAGTTCAGAATTAGCCTTGTTAACACACGCGAGAATGACGTGACTCTTCGATCGAAGACCTATTGCTGCTGATCCTTGTTTTACTGCTTCCATTGCATACTCTACTTGAAATAGCCTTCCCGCCGGCGACCATGTTGTTACGTCGGTGTCGTACTGGTTCCTGAACATCTTCACTCGCTGAGAATGTTGAGTGATTCACACTCTACCCTCTGAAATGGTTTACTTTGTGCTTATGGATTTTGGTTTTCTTATTGTTCAAGGCAAAGTGGGTGAAGAAAGGGGTTATCGCCGCTACTCTTTCTTCACTGTCAGTCAAAGTAGCTCGGTCTTGGGCCGAAACAGTTACGGCCCAGTCTAATAAGCTTATTAGCATAACACAAGGTAGCCACTTTTATGGCTGCTGTTTAAAATATAGCCACAATTTGCAAAATGTGTAGATTTTAATCTCTATGTTGCTGCGCTTATTCTCAGTTTTATTATTTGCGCTGGTGTTTTTTCAGTCCGCTTAGGTTGAAGTGATGATTAGTCTCCAATGGACAGTTTGGTACCACAAGATTAAAAAAACGCCATGAATTCCAAGTTAAGAGTGTGAGTTCAAAAGGTAAATATCTAACTCCATCTACACTTGCTTTTCTTTTATTCATATATACACATACAAGTTTGGAGTTAAAAGTTGTTGTTTCTATGGAACCCGAAACTATACTACAAGTGGTTATAAGTGTAATTCTAGTATCACAAGTTCAAATCTCTCCGAGCTGAGTCTTTCCTACTTGCTGCAACCGTGTAAAAAGATAGTACTGAAAGGGGTGTGGTAATTATTCAGCAAAAGGACGTTTGTGAAGAGGTTTTTGGCCTTCTCGAAGTGAATAATCAATTTCTATAATTGCACAACTCTACCGATCTGTTTGAGTTTACTACATGCATATTAGTTCACGGAATCAAACATCACGAGTTGGGAGAATGGTGTATTGAGATGAAAATAACTGTTGCAAAATTCTGAAAACAACCAGTAACATGATTATCTGGTACTCTTTTAGTTGCATGAGCAAGTGCCAAAAGATACCAAGCTACGATATCTTAGTGACTAGAGTCGTGAACATGCAACCCAAAAAAAGTGGCCAAATACATAGGCAGACCCTTAAACTTGTCATTAATTTTTACTTAGACACCTCAACTGAGATTTGTTCCTATTGAACACCTGAACGCCCTCCAAAATGTGTTATTGAGCACATTCTGTTGACATGTGAATGTCCGTGTATGTCACGTCTTATCAGCTATTGGGAAGAAACCCCATTCTAATTTTGGCATTCATGGATCCTTGCTCAAAGATACAGAAAAGATCCAACGATGAAGAAGAAGAAGAGTTCGATATTTTCAATGTCTGAGAATGACTTTGATAGTTTGATGTCTGAAGAACAAGTTGGGAATATAGATATTAAATTGTTTGGGCCTATATTATTATTTTGGGCTCATATTCATTGGGCTCAATAAACTCTTTCCGTTTGGGCTCACTAGAACCAGCTGAAGACAAGATTAGTATTAGCTATTTTATATTTCTGCATTTCTTATTTAATTTTGTAAATAACATGTGGGTTTGTTATAGAATAGCCAATAGGATGATAGACAAGTGTACAGGTAGTTAGGCCTTAGATTCCATTCTTTGTTGTATATATGGATCAGTCTGTATAGTTCAGGAAATCTAATTGAAGATACACAGAAAATTTCTCCATCTTTCTCTATTTTCTTTCTTGGTATCAGAGCAGTTAGCTCGATCCAGCAATACAATCAATTTACTACATCAATTTCTTCAATAGAACAAGATAGGAGACACAATCTCTGCTGCAGAAACCAGTAATGTTGCAAAGGCTGTGACCTATGATGCTAATCACCCCGATCACCTCAATAACTCTGATTCTCCGAGTATGACTCTAGTCAATATTTGATGGAAGAGGTTACCCAGGATGGAGGAGATCCATTCTCTTGTCCTTATCAGCTAAAAGGAAGCTTGGATTCATCAATGGAGCTTGCAAATCTCCAGGTCTCAACTCTCCAGAACTTGAGCAATGGAATTGTGTGAATGACATGATGATCTCCTGGATCCTTAATGCTCTCTCAAAGGATATTGCAGATAGTGTCATTTATTCCAAAACTGCCAAGGAGCTTTGGGACAGTCTTGAGCAGAGATTTGGAAAATCAAATGGAGCAAAGCTCTATCACCTGCAAAAGGAATTATCAGGTTTAGTACAGGGGAATAGTGATATTGCAGGATATTTCACTAAGCTTAAACGTTTGTGGGATGAATTGGATGCTTTGAATGTCATTATATGCTGCTCTTGTGTTTGTACTTGTGAAGGAAAGGCAAAGTTAACTAAGTCACTGGAAGATCAAAGGTTGATCCAATTTCTAATGGGACTAAATGACATTTATGCACAAGCAAGAGGAAACATCCTCGTGATGAATCCCTTGCCCAGCATGGATGTTGCTTATTCTCTTCTCTTACAGGATGAAAATCAAAGGGAGGTCTATGCAAATGCAAATTTTAACTCTCAATCAGTGTCATTTATGGCAGCAGGAGAGAACAAAGAGCCTAATGCACAACTTCTAGCTGATTTTGCAGCCCTCATGATTACAGGACAAGGAAAGAATCATCAGAAATTCAGAAATCAGACTCAAAGGGGAGCAGGGACAGGAGCCAAATTCAACAATTATGGACACAAGTTTGTTAAACCTCAGCAGAAGTTCAAAGCAAAGAAGAAATACAATCCAAATGTGTCTTGTACTTATTGTGGAAAAACAGGACATACACAGGAAGATTGCTACAGAATCATTGGTTTTCCTGATGATTTTGAATTCACAAATCACAAAGGGTATCAGAATCAAATTAAGGGGAATGCAGTGGTGGCAAATGAAGAGCATGAAAGCCCAGCAGGACAAGAAAATGAGTTTAATGGGAATAACTTTGGACAGCAGCTTAGCAAAGAGCAGGTTGCAGAAATGATACACATCTATAAGCAAACAAAAATGGCACAGGCAGGAAATACAGGAATCAATGCTAATGCAATAGCAGGTACTATTCTGAAGTACTCAGGATCAGTTTTTACTACTTTAAAATCAGACACCTGGATCATAGATTCAGGTGCCTCAGAGCATATGTGTTTTGATCCTAATTCTTTCTTGTTTCTGTCTCCACTCCCTGTACCTTGGAACATCAGTTTACCTAACTCTTTCAAGGTGATTGTTACTCATATAGGGAGCATTTCTATTCTGCCTGGTCATATTCTGAACAATGTATTGCATGTTCCAAAATTCAAGTATAACCTGCTATCAGTTCATAGGTTTTGTGTTCAATTCAAATATGATGTGCTTTTCACATCTGTTGAGTGTGTGTTGCAGGGCCTTTCAATGAAGAGTCCTCAAGCTTTTAGTGAAGTTAGAGAAGGACTCTACTTATTGAAACCAAGTAGTATCAAGTCTAAGGGTTTATTTAGCAATGATGTATTTTCAATTCCAAAAGGAAGAAATTCCATTTCAGAGTCTGTTTCTTTTTCTAGTCCAGTCCTAGTGAACATTGTTTCAGATGTTAATCTTTGGCATGTAAGATTGGGTCATCTCCCATTTTCAGCAATAAAACATTTAGATTTCTTTCATTGTAAATCTAATTCTGATTTTGTTTGTGATGTGTGTCCTAAGGCTAGGCAAACCAGAAATCCTTTCCCTATCAGTAAAATAAGTTCCAAGCACAGATTTGAGCTTATACATATTGACACATGGGGACCTTATAAGTCAAATACCTACAATGGTTTTAGATATTTCCTTACTATAGTAGATGACTATAGTAGGGGGACATGGACAATTTTACTAAGTGCTAAAAGTAATGCTTTTCCGACGCTTAAATCTTTCATATCTATGGTTGAGAGACAATTCAATGAGAAGGTAAGAGTGATAAGATCTGACAATGCATTGGAACTGGGAAAAGGGACTCAAGAGGCAGCCTTCCTAGCCTCTCAAGGAATTCTACATCAATTGTCTTGTGTGGCAACTCCCCAACAAAATGGAGTTGTTGAAAGGAAACATAGACATCTTTTGGAGATTGCAAGAGCTTTAATGTTTCAATCAAAGTTGCCTATGTCATATTGGGGAGAATCTATTTTAACTGCCACACATCTTATTAATAGGATGCCTTCCAGTGTTCTTAAAGGGAAAACACCATATGAGGTCTTGTTTCAAAAGAAGCCTAAGTATGATCATTTAAGGAATTTTGGATGTCTTTGTTATGCTTCAACATTAGCACAGGTAAGGGGAAAGTTTGATGGGAGAGCAACAGCCTGTGTTTTGCTTGGATACCCCCTTCATCAAAAAGGATATAAGCTACTGGAAATATCCATAGGAAGAGTATTTGTTTCAAGGAATGTCAAGTTTCATGAGACACATTTTCCCTTTGCTAAAAACAGACCTTCACATCAGCCTATTTTTTCCAACCCAACCTCCAGTACATAATATACCTACCCAGTTCCATTACAGGATCATCAATCACCTATTTCTTTGGAACCTGAACTTCCTGATAACTTTTCTTCACCATCACCAAGTTCTTCATCAACACCCCACCATTCTTATTCACCTTCTAGTCCAATTTCTTCCTCACCTATCCCAGATACACCACATACCATATCACCACTTCCTGAACCTAACCAGGCTACACCAATGAGAAGGTCAGGAAGGATTACCAACCAACCAACCTACCTAAAAGACTATGTGTGCAGTAATATCATGTTCACAGATGTATGAGCTGCTTGTTTCACTCATCCAACTAAACCTAGGGAGTATTGTTTCTCCTCTCTATCCCCAAACAACCAACATGTCATGCAGTCATTTTCTACACTTACAGAGCCTAACAGTTTTGCACAGGCTTGTCAACATCCAGGTTGGATTGCAGCTATGGATTCAGAGATTAAGGCACTAGAAGACAACCACACATAGGATGTAGTTGAGCTACCCAAAGGGAAAAGAGCTCTACCTTGCAAATGGGTATACAAGGTGAATCATCTATCAGATGGAAGAGTTGAAAGATTAAAGGCAAGGCTGGTAGTAAGGGGGGGGATGTCCAAAGAGAAGGGATAGATTATGGAGAGACATTTTCACCAGTGGTGAAGATGACCACCATAAGATGTTTGCTCACTATTGCAGCCAAAAGAGACTGGAATGTGTCTCAATTGGATGTCAACAATGCATTTCTGCATGGTGATCTTCAGGAGGAGGTGTATATGAAATTTCCTTCAGGTTTACCACCTCCCAATCCTAAGCATGTTTGTTTACTAAGAAAATCATTATATGGATTGAAGCAAGCATCTAGGCAATGGTATGTCAGGCTTGCAGGGGCTTTGAGTTTTAAGGGGTATTCTTCATCATTAAATGATTATTCTCTATTTTTTAAACGAACACGAAGTCTGATTTCTATACTAGCTGTCTATGTAGATGACATTCTACTAACTGGAGATGATTTGGAAGAGATCAAGCACATCAAGGATTTCCTAAATACTGAATTCAAAGTCAAAAATTTAGGAAGCATACATTATTTTTTGGGGATGGAGATTCTGAGAGAAAAAAGGTTTTATTGTGAGTCAAAGAAAATTTACCTTGGACATGCTGAATGAGTTTGAAGTTTCTCACTTGGGTCGAGTTACTTCTCCTCTTGACCCTTCTTCCAAACTCCAAGCTGATGATGGAAAACCTATGCACAACCCCACAGTGTATCGACATCTAGTTGGGAAGTTGAACTACCTGACTAACACTCGACAGATCTATCTTTTGCAGTTCTCACCCTCAGCCAGTACATGCAGAAGCCATGTCTCTCTCACTTCAATGCAGCATTACGAGTGTTGAAATATTTGAGCTCAGATCCTGGACAAGGGATCCTTTTATCAGCAGCACCATCTTTCTCTTTGCTTGCTTTTTGTGATGCTGATTGGGCTTCCTGTAAGGATTCAAGAAGGTCTGTAAGTGGATTTTTTATCACATTAGGAGGAGCACCAATTTCTTGAAAATCAAAGAAGCAAGTATCAATTTCTCTTTCATCTGCAGAAGCAGAATATAGATCTATGCGTAGAGTGACTGCAGAACTTACTTGGCTTGTTCGTCTTCTTGAGGATTTGTCTGCACCAGTCACCCTTCCCATACCTCTTCATTCTGATAGCAAAGCAGCCATCCACATAGCCCGTAACCCCGTCTTCCATGAACGCACAAAATATGTGGAGATTGACTGCCATTTTGTGCGTCAACAGTTTCTTTCCGCGTTAATCACACTCTGTTTTGTTCCTTCTAAAGAACAACTGGCAGATCTCTTCACAAAACCTCTATCAGGGGTTTCTCACTCAGAAATTTTGAACAAGTTGGGGGTCACCAGGTTACCCTCCAACTTGAGGGGGGATATTGGGAAGAAACCCCATTCTAATTTTGGTATTCATGGATCCTTGCTCAAAGATACAGAAAAGATCCAACGATGAAGAAGAAGAGTTCGATATTTTCAATGTCTGAGAATGACTTTGATAGTTTGATGTCTGAAGAACAAGTTGGGTACATAGATATTAAATTGTTTGGGCCTATATTATTATTTTGGGCTCATATTCATTGGGCTCAATAAACTCTTTCCGTTTGGGCTCACTAGAACCGGCTGAAGACAAGATTAGTATTAGCTATTTTATATTTCTGCATTTCTTATTTAATTTTGTAAATAACATGTGGGTTTGTTATAGAATAGCGAATAGGATGATAGACAAGTGTACAGGTAGTTAGGCCTTAGATTCCAGTCTTTGTTGTATATATGGATCAGTCTGTACAGTTCAGGAAATCTAATTGAAGATACACAGAAAATATTCATAGTTTTTACCGGAATTCGTGACAACTTCTTTTGCATCTTATTTTCAACCTATTTTCTTCTACTTGCCAAGCCATCTTCACCACCACCTCCTCCTATTCCCAGATCTGGCCAACGGCCACCATAACCATCAGCTTCTCTTTCTCAGTATCAGTTGCTGCACCACCACACCACAACCAACAGACCCAACTTAACCCATCAACCCAACATGGAGAAAAACAGAAAAGCTCCTTTCTTCTACCGATAATCAGCAAGTCAAGATTACACTTTAATCAGGATTTTGGGTTGGCCAAGGAAGAATGACACTTCCTCACATAGTCATTTCTCCCTTTTCTCTTCAAGTCTTGTGACTGTACCAAGAAATTTATGTCACTTTCCTCAACATTGAAGACATCCAATAACGCTTGCTGAGTTGTAAGGATGTTTAAATCCATTTCAAGAAATATCTAAACTTTAATTTTTTGATACTTCCAGAAAACAATCCACAAACGGCAGGCCGACCACCTCTGTTTGTTTCTTTCCTATTTTCTGATCAGATTTTTTATTAAGAAAATTTGTCTCTCTTTTTATTTGTTGCTGACATGTAAGTATGTAACTTTTTTATTAGTTTTGTCTGCCACTACAACAGAGTGTGAGTTCACGCACCACTGCTAGTTTGAAATTGTCGAATTTGGGTATAGTAGACACGTTTTTTGGGAGCTCAAGTGGTCAATAGGACTAAGTCTTAGTTGAAGTGCTTAAGTGAAAATTGGTGACAAGTTTAAGAGGCTCTCAATGTATTTGGCCCAGAAAAAGTCACAAGACTCATTTTGATGTAAACAGAAAGCACAAAAATACCATCTTTATCTATGTGATAATGTTGAATAACATTATGTCTCTTTGCTAAATGAACCGCAAGCCTCATGGAATAAGTTAAACTTGGAAGAGTGGTAAACACTAAATGATAGACATTGGCAGTTCTTGGCATGAGCAGGTACTCCGATCTCTGCTATATCAAAAATCACAACTTAGAAAGGAAGGATGAGAAAAGCTCCAACTACTGCTTAATTTTATCATGTATAGACAATGATCTATTGGCAATCTAACATGGACAAAAAGTAAGAGAATGCCTTGGAAAATCAGGACGAAATGAGAAAGACCATCTCCCTAATTCAAGATATCCAGAGAGCTGGTTTGTTGGGTCTGAAATGGCAATGTCACAAGATGCGAAGGGTATCTTGGAACATCCATTCTAACAGTTAAGACATGGTATTAACCAATTCAGCCAATGCCTTGGAACCCACCTTGGGACCATATTTCCTGTGGTGACTTGTTTCCATATAAAATAACAATATCGTAACATGGCAAAGAAAATATTTCAGCATGAATCCTAGAACACTTTGAGCTATATGCACAGAGATAGTCTCTAAGTTCTAAAATGCTCCAAATAAAAATATGGTTCAAGGAGAACAGAGTGAGGATTTGCTTTTTGGTCCTAACAAGGCTCTTCGTTAGGTCAAAAAGAGGGCATTTACAAACCAAGAGCATGAAGCATAATTGCATTTTGCGCATGCATGCGGTTCTCAGCTTGGGGGAATACAATGGAGTTTGGTGCTTCAATCACGCCATCAGTAACTTCAACTCCTCTTTCCGCTGGCAAACAGTGCATGAAATACGCCTTTTTTCCAGCTAGTTTCATCAGTTCTTCATCCACCTGTAGAGAAATAATAAGACATAATGTCAAGCATGTGCTGCAGCGTTGGTGTGGGATCGATAAATGCTTCTTTTATTTTGGCAAGTTAGGCAGAGTTAAAGTTTGTTTTGATAATATAAAACAACGGATTGAGATTATTGTTTGCTGTTGATTCTTCTCAAGTTGTCTATCAGAACTAGAGAGGGTATCACACTAACCCGAAAACAGGAAATATAGCCATCTTAAACAATTTCTTAGAATTGGCAAAAATTGCAGAACTTAATTGACTGTGAAGCTAGCCACAGTAAAATATCAGAGTGAGATGCTTTTCAACTATCTATTACCCGAGAATCACTGGCTAGCAAAACCTCGCTTAATTATATGTTGCAACCTTGGTTTTTCATATTAAAAGAAATACGATTCAGGTCTCTACCTTTCCACTAATATCAAAGTCTAATCGTACACAAAGAAGTTGATGCACAAGCAGTGCCTACACAGTGAGCACCGCCCCATTAAAGTTCCAGAAAGTTTGGATAACTCCCCAACAGTAAAGGATAAACTGGCTCCTAGAAACCTGGATCCCAGTGGCCAGAAATGTTAAATAGAAGACCATTTGGAGCAGTTCATTAACTCCCTGCATAATATTTTCATGAACCCTCAATAAAGTCAACCTTGCTACAATAGCTTGATAGGATAGCAGGACGTATTTCTAGAAACCTCCTAAATTGCCAATGTATTGAGCTCTCTGCCAAGTTATTTCGTGTTAGGTTGAAATAGGTATTTAATTCTCCTACTTGTACAAGCTGACTAGATCATAAGAGCCATTTCTCATGCTCCTACCTGGAATCCTTGAAAGACTTGACGGCGATGTGCAGCTTCTTCCTTTTGTCCCATGCTGGCCCAGACATCTGCATAGACAACATCAGCGCCTCTAACAGCTTCCTTTGGATCATTAGTTATCTCAATTTTGCTGACTCCAGCCTGTCGTGCTTTCTCAACTGTTTCCTGATCAGGTTCAAAACCTTTGGGGCAGGCACAAACAAAGTGGAAAGGAATCACTGACGCCAATAGCAGCCAAGAATGCACTATGTTATTTCCATCTCCAACATAGACGACCTGGAATTTGCAGCCACCACTAGGTTATTGAAATCAAATTACCAATACAACAAAACATGTTTGAGATTATTTAAAAGAAATCTGAAATGTTTTGAGGTGTTTCAACTTCCACATCCACCCTCAAAATTAGATGTTTAATGAATCCGTTTTGTTGGTAAGAACAATGTAGCCAATATAGATCACTTTTTGGATCTTCTATGCTCATTGTGTTCTATTTAGAAGTGGAAGGTGAGAATATATAAGGGAGCTGTAATGCCTCTTGATTGAGATGTACTCTTTTTGCATCTTCTGGGTGCATATAAATAAAACGTAATTGCTTCATCAAGAAAACTAAAAAAGAGCTAACCTTAGTTCCTTCCAGCTGACCGACATGTTCGATCATTGTAAGGGCATCAGCCATAATTTGACAAGGATGGTTATAGTCTGTGAGGCCATTGATCACAGGCACAGTTGCATATTTAGCTAGATCAAGAATGTCCTGCAAAACACATGAAATACAATTGATACCAATATTTGATTTGCAGTGGGAATGAAAGAAAGGGGGGAGATTTTCCTAAACTCAGTGGACAGATAACTTGGTCCACATTTCTAATTAAGCAATGCCTAAAGAATATTCAGACATGAACAGCTATACACTCAATTAACTTGCTGAGAAAAGCACAGCAACATCAAACTGCCATATCTGTAAGCTGCAGTAATAAAACTAGGTTCAAGAGCATCTTGATGGTTTGCGTCATTGTTGTCAGGAGATGTGAAAAGAAAAGACAGTTTGATGTCTTTGGAGCCAAATGCCATCAGAGATTAATCATAACAAAATTTCTAGGACCATCAAATATAAATGGGCCTTCTCTTTACGTCGTCCCCTACTTCCTCCTAACTGCCCCCAGGGAAAATGAAGAAAATATTTGTTTCAACTATTATATGGAGTTGCCAAGAGCGGCTTTAATTGAAGATGCAAAAATGCAGACTTGACAGCTGTAACGCTACAACAATATCTGTCATGCAATGCTTCTTATAAGCCTTAATTCTTACCAAGCACCAGGAAAAAGTCGCAACAGAAAACTCACCAGCTTACCTGATGAGCAAAAACTCTAGCCATAATGATGTCATTATAGCGAGAAAGAACACGAGCAACATCGCGAGTTTCTTCCCGCTTACCCATCTGTATGTCATCTGGTCCCAAATATATCGCATGGCCTCCAAGCAAGTAAAACCCTGTCTCGAAAGAAACCCGTGTCCTCATGGAAGGCTTGGCAAAAATCATTGCCATAGTTTTACCCGTGAATGGGAGATATGTCCTCTCTCCCGATTTTAGCAACTCTTTAACCTCTCTGGCTCTATCCAAGATGTTCAAAATAGTGGCTTTGTCAAAATCACTGATGTGTAGAAAGTCCTTCTGATTGGCAGTTGCTGGAATAGAAAACTTTAAAGACATGTTAAAAATATCCATCTTCAACAGACTATGATAAGAACTTGTACTTAACACATGATTAGTAAGCATGTTCAGATCACATCTACCCCATCTTTAATCCAAACACAAGGATTAAACCATCAGCAGACATGCTCTTTTGACAAATTTGCATTTTTGCTATGAGAAGCTTTATATAACTTTTCTTAGCATTCATGTTCTATATATTGTAGAAGATTACATGTTGGTTCTCCAAATTCATATGCTATTTACACTTTATCCTTGTCAAACCAATCTGTTTTATAAACCTCAAGTTTTTTAAATACCGGCAGATAACTCCTCAGAAATTGGCCAATCAGCCACATTTACAATAGACAATACAAATGTCCATGTAGCAAAATATGTTTCTTAACCAAATCAGTAATAACAAATTTTTAATTACTTACTCCACAACAGGAAGACAGTTAAAACTAGAATATGTCAACAATTTTAAACAAAACATGCCTGGTTTTTGGTGATTATTTCAACTCCAGTACTAATTACTATGAAGCAACTGTAAATACCAAAAAGGTGAAAAGGCAGACGAACAAAGCGTGAGTCTGGTACAAATTAAAACGCCTCCATGGAATTATCATAGAAATGTTTATTTTGGGAAAAAGATTATTGTTTGGACATTTTGTAGTGTTTGACTGGCTATAAAAGACTATAACTAGGTGGGTAATATTACGGTGTAGAGGTAGCATATGACAATAGTGTTCCGGTCATCTTTCAGAGTATTACAGACTAATACCAATGTCTAAATGTTGGTTGGAGCAAGTGATGTGGCATATGAGTTGGGATGCCTTTAAAGGAAAAACGGCTTATGTACACAAGTAACAGAAGTCATTTTTTACTCTTTTGGCGGAGAATATTTCCCTTGGAGAAAACATTTTCAAAAACTCAATGTAACCAAACTCTGAAAATTGATTTAATCAACAAAATTATTAGCGAGGAATTTATTTTGCATCTACCAAAAACACACCCAATAAGAAATGAAGTAGAAAGCATACAAGCTCAATCAGGTTAATCATCCAATGTGCATGACAAAATTAGACTTCCTAGACCAATATATGAGGATAAGCAACAATATCCCTCTTAGACAAAGTTCCACCAGAACATGAGTTTTCGACAAGTAAATTAAATAGAGTATGATTTAAGCTATACACACACAATGTAAAGATTTTTTGCACTACCAATGTAATTTAACCTATGATAGTAGGTTACTTACTATTTTTACCAGGATACCAATTACTGCCGGGGGTGATACACGTGGTTTCAAGCGGTGTCACGTGACACTGCTTCAAGGGAAAAAAATCACTAAATATATGTATAAATGATAAATTAAAAGAGAAATAACAGATAATTTCCATTACAGTAACACCACTTGAACATGTGAGGTGCTCTAGTCTGTTGTTAACACAGTTCTTTATGCTAATGTGAGTCCTGAGTTCGATCCTCTACATATGCTTAGTCTAGGCATTTTTCTTACCTTTTTATTATAAAATATATCTTAATAATATCCTAAAGGTCTTACACACCAAATGTTTCCCGGAGTGTGTCGAAGACAAAGCTAATCCCTGAGTTTGGTGTTATAGTAAAAAAATAAAAAAAAATAAAAAATAAATTCATTTGTCAGCTTTTTTAAGTGACACCGCTTACACAAAATACTCAGTACGCCACTGATTACTGCCTATCATAGAGATTTACAGGTAATTGCCTAATACGTGACTTGATTGTGTAAATATCCGTCATGCACAGAACTTAACTCAATTAAGTCAATGCAAAAGTATCCCTAATATTGAAATGAAATGTTCTGCGAGAGACTACGCGTTCCAAGTTAAAAAATGCCCCGGATTAAAAAATGAATGAACTAAACAATTCCAACGGCAAAAACTTCAAATTAAACACAAAAACATTTAAAAAATTCGAGGAAATATAGCGAACCATTTGCAATGACGGAGGAAGGAGATGTAGCTGGAGAGCTGACATGGCATGAGAAGCGTAGACGAGTAGCCGGAAATGTGACTGGAGAAGGTGCGATTACGCCGGAGAAGTGCGACGATTGCTTGCCGGAGTGAGAGAGAGAAGAGACGGAGGAGAAGGAAGAGAGGGTTTCCGGTGACCGGAGAGAGGATAGCTGAGAAAAAATGGCCGCCATTGTTTTGCTGAGTAAAGCAGAGAGAGTAAATTGGTAAATTTGGAGTAGCAGAGTGTTTCTTAATGATAATAATAAACCCTACTCAAGCCTAGTTTTAAAGCTATGTCAAGGGAAAGAATTTGAACATTAGCTTTAATAACTATATGTTTGTATTGGGTGATACCCTTTTTTGCTTGAGCCCGACCGGGTTGGGTCCGGTCCGGGGCAAGTCGGGGCCATCGAACCCGACCTGGATGCAAGGTAGAACGACGGCCACGTCAACAACCGAGGTCGAGTCATTTCGAGACCGTTGCAGAGCTCGATATGAGTCACCACCGGATGGAGAAACACACAAGGTCGGAAGCCGGACTCGTAACGGATAACCAAGCGTCGCCGGATATCTCGCCCAAACGTGATTTTCTCAACCACTTCAGGCCATTAAGGCGTAATTACAGGGATCCACGATGTAATTAATTTACCTACCTTATTTTTACCCTTAATCAGAATGTATAAAAGGGGAGAAGACCCCATAAAGAGGGGATCGGAAACCATTACACTACAGTACCATCTCTCTCAATTCTTGTACGCTATCAAGCACAATTGTTCTAAGCAATATTATATTCTGCGATTATTTACTTTAACAGCAATTGTTGAGTCTTTATCTTTTATTTTCCTCAATCCAAACCTTTTGTATCTTTTAGTTCACGGATCCTTAAAACCCCATATAAATTCAATTGTTATCCGGATTCCAGGGTAAACAGTTTGGCGCCCACCGTGGGGCTAAGGATATCAGTGAGCTCTTTGATACTCTTTCTTGAC